TGCAACCTCAAATAGGTGAATACAAGTAGGTGAGTACACACACACACACACACACACACTCACACACACACACACACACACCACACACACACACACACACACACACACACACACACACACACACACACACACACACACACACAATGTTGGGAGTGATGTAGTGGAGGCAGGATCTATACATAGCTTTAACAAGAGGTATGATAAAGCTCATGAAACAGGGAGAGAGCTGACCTAGTAGTGACCAGTGAAGAGGCGGAACCAGGAGCTATGACTTGACCCTTGCAACCACATATATTTGAGTACATTATACACACTAAGATGTATCGTCTCAAAAACATATTAAGTTAAGCAAATATTCCGTAATGTTTGAAGAAGGCTGCTAGTTAACATGACACTCATGTCTGAAGACTGCTAGTTAACATGACACTCATGTCCAAACGCTAGTTAACAGACACTCGCCAAAACCTTTTAACTGACACTCTTTTCCAAGATCATTAACCCCCAAAAAAATTTTAAAAAACCCCCCCAAAAAGGGGTTTTAAAATTCCAAAAATTTTAAACTGCCTATTTCCCTTTTTCCCAAAAATTTCTGTAAAAAACCTAGTTAAGACTCTGTTCAAAAATTTTGGTTCAAACCTTTTTAAATTGCTCAAGACTGCATTTAACTGCCCCAAAGGCAAAAAAGCTTTTAACATGACACCATGTCCAAGATTGCAGTTAACTACCCTCCTGTCTAAGACCCGGCCTAGTTCAGACCCTCAGTTAAACCTTTTTTCCCAAAGGTTAGTTACTAAACCCCCCAAACTCAAAGTCTAAATCAAATGCACTCATGTCTAAGCTTTAATTAACTGCATCAGTTTTCCCTGCTTTAACAGAATTATGTCTAAAAACGCTAGTTAAAACACTCAGTCTCAAGACGAATTAAATGACCTCATGTTTAAAAAAAAACCCCTTGTTTAAAGCCCTTTCAAGCGTTAACATGACATCATGCCCAAGACTGAATAAACATGCCCTTTTTCATGCCCTTGCTGCTTTAACATGTTCACTGAGACTGCTATTACATGAATCTGCCCTCAAGACGGGTTTAAAACACTCGTCTCAAGACCAAAAACAGGCTAGCTAAGCTAGTTAAAACATAACTCACTAAGAAACCCCCAGTTCAAACTTTTTAAGATTTTGTTTAGACCTTTAAAAAAGACCTATTAAATAAATATGCCCCTTTCGGGTTAAAAAACCAGTTAAGCCCCAAAAGACTCTTTAACAAAATTTTAAGCCCCATTCAAAACCCGCCAAATGATTAAAACCACCTTTA